CACCAGAACCCCTCACGGGTGCTCCCAGTGCCCACCAGAACCCCTCATGGGTGCTCCCAGTGCCTATGTCCTATGTCCTGCACGGGAAAATATGGTGCAAGCGGAGAGAGAAAGAGACTTGGGAAGGCAAGTTCGGCACCTTCCTTGGTGCACAGGGCTGTCTTAAAGGGTCTGCAATAGAAAATTCAACTGATGCAGGGCTCAAGGTAAACATACACACCATGGACAGTGGGCTGGTTAGGAGGGAACAGACTTGGATGGTTGAGTTATGAGAGACAGGAGGGCATAGGGCTGTGGAGGCCACTGGTGCTCGGCAACACAGCAAGGAGCAAGAACTGTGCATGGCACATGAGAGGCACCTGCTGCTAGAAGCAAGTTACTTGGACTTAGAATCATTCCATCTTTTGCCAAAGAGCCTACATGAAGTAAAATGAAGCTGACAAGGTCAGTTGGCAGGACAGCAGGGAGTTGTCAGTCAGGTCCCTGGGAGACAGCTACCAGCAGGATGCAATGCCATGGCTGGGCAATTGTAGCCTTAGTACTGCCTGGAGATCAATGTTACCAAATAAAGGGAACCTAGACGTCCTTGATTGAAGGACCCACTGGGTTTGAAGTGATACAATGAAAGCCACTGTAGCTGGAGTATCTGTTGGGTACTTTATGGGTTCCCTTTTTCTGCCACCCTACTCCAGCCTTATCCCTTACAACCCTCCAACACAAGATAGGAGAGAAAGGTTAGAAGGGTAACGGGGTGTTGATACCATTAGACTACTTCTTGCTGATTAGGAGGTACCAAGATCCTTGGGGCAACTTTGATCTTCATTGTGGGGATACGTTCAACCACCAACCATCAACCAGCAGCAGGAGGAGCAGCAGGAGGAGCATCAGGGGGAGCAGCAGGGGGAGCAGCAGGAGGAGCAGTAGCAGAAGCAGCAGCAAGAACAGCAGCAACATCCACAACCCTCTTGGGGCTTTGGTACTTATATACCCTCCCAAGAATCCCCAGAATTCCAAATACCATACATTTGCAGAAATTATTTACAGCTGACAAAATTATGCTCCTGCCAGAGCACGAGGCAAATCATAGTCAGCTGCTGTGGATAATCTGAAGCAGCCACATATCCCATACATAGGGTTAAAACAAAAACATATTCCTATAACATTTCTGTGGTTTTTAAAGAACCCAAAATCTCACTACAAGACACCAAATGACAGTCCAGTGCTGGAGATGAAGCTGTAAGGAAGAGAAGCAGTGTCTTGGGCAGCAGTACTAAGGCTGGGCCCCTATCCACATATTTGAGTCTTGCAGGATGGCAAGGTCAAGCTTAAGACACCTAAGTTCTGTTGCTTGGGACAGAGACTGGTGCCAGCCTTAGACCCAAGAGCTGTATGTCTGGGACACTCTCTTGTCACACATCCTCTTTCTGGACCTGGGGGAACACTCCATGCTTGGACCCCACTTGTTGATACTAGTCCATGGGATTGGGTCTTGCCTATGCCAGTAGGGGCCACACATCCTGTTCAGGTCATGAAAACCAGTTCCACTTCATCAGTGACCACCAACCTGCCACCTTTAGGAAAGTGACTTTAGTGGAAACAATGCTTTTATTGTCTCAACTCTGTCACCCTAACATTGTCAAATAGATAGTAATCCGGTAAGCATGAAAAATATGCTTTTATTATTTGTTACAGTACAGTAATTGGAACCTGACCTATATGGTAAGAAATAAGATTATAATTCATGTTTCTGAGCAGAAGGAAAAGGATATGTGAAATGAATTATAGAAAATTCAATTAACCATTTGATAATGCCGGTCTCTAAGTAGTTTCCTGTCCTTTGGAATCCCATAGCCTCATAGAGGGCTATAGCACTTTGCTGTATGATGCTGGTCTCAAGAACAACATCACTGTAGCCCTGGTCCCGTGCAAACTGGAGGACAGTTCTGACCAGTGCCTTCGCTATCCCCAGTCCTCGATGCTGTGAGGACACAGACAGGTGAAAGAGCTGCAGCTGCTTCCTCCCTAATGGAGGATCCTTGACCGGCAGAGCCCCCACCATGCCCACCACCTGTCCCCCAGACTCAGCCACCCAGAAGGAGCCATGAGCATTCAGGTAAGACTTGGTGATGTCAGCCATGTCTGTCTGCAAACACAGGGCCACATACTCCTTGAAGGGCTGTCTAGCAAGGAGCCGCAGGAGTAGGAGCAGAAAGAAGAAGCACACAACAGCCAGCAGCCAGGAGCCAGACACCAGGACTATGGCCACAGGCATCACAAATAAAAGCAGGAGGGTCTTGGGCAGCAGCAGCACATAACGGAAGGTGGTGGGGACGTGCTCCATCATGCCCCTGGAGAACAAGTCCACAACCTGTTTGTGGTCCCTCTCCTGGTACTGGCGGATCTGATAAGGAGCCATGGGGGGACTTGTGGGTCTCCAATATCAGCAATCACAAGAGAGAGCTAGACCTTTCTTCACGTCTTCCTTGAGTCCTGCGGGAGAGAGAGAGAGGAATTCATCACATGAATTCCTGCACCCTCCACCCTGCCCCCAGCCTCCCAGGAGCCATGTAAACTTTGCCCAAGGGTGTGTCTTCTTGTATCACACAAGAGAATGCAGAATACCACTGAGAAAAAGCACTGGGCCAGCAACACCTGATTAATCCCCAGGTTCTAGCCAAATGACCGTGAACATGTCACTGCGCCTCTCTGAGCCTGCATGTGTTTATCGTAGAACACAGAAAATAACACCTGGTTTCTAGGTTGCTTTCAGGATTTACTATGGTGATCTGTATGCAGCAGAGACATGATTTGGCCCTTTCCCTCTGCCCTCCTAACCCAGTAAACTGGTTCTCTGGTGTTTTGATACCTTAATATGGCACACTGGAAGGAGGAGGTGGTGTCTCCAGCTATTGGTTTCTTCTTCAGGGTCTGTAGACAGCAGAATCCCATGTTTCCATGAGCAAGTTTCAGAAAACCCTCTTCTGCCTTGTTGGGATGACTTAATCTGCCTAAAGGGCAAGAGGTCATCTCCATCACCCCACCCTTGAATCCCCAGGAAGGTTGTCAGACTGCAGGTCCACAAGAGACCTCCTGCCCAGCCTTGACTCTCTATCCTCTCACCTGGTGTCTCAGAGCTGAAAGTGTTCAGGAAAGCCTCAGCCTCCAGATGACATCCAAAGAAAATACTCTAGAACCTGCCTGAGTGTTGGGGAGCAGACTCAGCCTGGCACCTCATTGGCTGGCTCTTGAGTAATCATAAACCAAAGGTCAAGGGCTGGAATATGATAGTGGTAAGAGTCCTTGTTCATTTGATTTGCAATCACCATAGGATTACTGTAGCCCTATCCAGATGACAGGCTCATGCAGGCCTAAGGAAAAGAACACCAGAAGCTGTGCCTGTGAGCTTTTGGAAGAGAAGCTGGCTTTGAGATAACCCTCACAGAAAGACTGCCATCTCTCTTCCACCTCACCACACACACCTCTCACTAGGCACACGTAGCCTTCCTGAGGTGTACTGTGCTCCCCTGTGCACATCTGCTGGATCAGCTCAAGGACTGTGGAACTCACTATTGGCTGACACATCCTGGGGAAGGGTCTGGTCTCCTATAATCAAAAGATGAACTTCACTTCGGCCTTTCTCCCTGCCTAAGCTGTACCTATACATAAAAAAATGGATCCTGGCAGCTCCAACACTGCCTTCCTGCTTCTCCATCTCATCGTTAGGTCCGAACTGAGCTGTAGTTGGGAGGTACCTGCTGGGTTGCACATATTCTTTTCATTAGTATTGTAGCCATATCCAGATGACAGGCTCAAGCAGGCCTAAGGAAGAGGTTGACAGAACACCAGAAGCTGTGCCTGTGAGTTTCTGGAAGGCATTTGATCTCAACCATTGAGACATTGAAGAGCCCCTTATTCTAGTTTGATTTCTATTGCTGTTATAGACACCATGACCAAAACCCATCTTGGGCAGAAAAAGGTTTATTTGGATTATACATTCCATTCGAAGTCTATCCCTGGGAGAAGCCAAGGCAGGAGTTAAAGTAGGGCAGGAACCTGGAGGCAGGAACTGAAGCACAAGGCATGGACAAATGTTGCTTAGTGGCCTGACTTCTGTGGCTTGCCCAGCGTCCTTTGTTATTCCTCTCAGGACAACCTGTTCAAGGGCGGCTGAAGGAGCCCCTGCAGTTGCTCAGGCAGGGAAATGAACCCAGAAGAGATGAGAATGAAAATCCCGTTCAGACTGATTTCACCAACCTGGGTAAGACTCAGGGAGTCCGGTGGCAGACAGTTCATTGTCAGCATATTTAACACACAGTGCAATCTCGGGAAAAGATTCCAGGCAACAGTCAGTCCCCTTCCAGGTGCACAGTAAAGCTTACAATGTGACTACTTAGAAACAAAGTACATGTGGTCACAAAGGCAGCGGCTCTATAGCTAAAGAGACTAGACTCTATTGTGGTCTCTGACCAAGATAGCATAGAGGTCAGCAGGCCATAAAGTACATGTGACATTTCCCCTAAGGATGGGTTCTGTTAACTGGGAGCTAGGGATAGACTCTGAGATAAACATTCTTGGGGAGGTCACCCTCTATAGCAAAAAGTGGGTGACGTCTGGTGCTACAGATAGCAATAAAGGTCACCAAGTCATTAACAGTATCCACTCTCAGCTTTCTGGGCAGGAAAACAGGCATTTTCATCTGCTCCACTGAGGAGAGGCTCCTGTCTGTTGAACAGTCCTGGTTTTCCTAGTGATCTGTGGCCAAAAAGACCTTTGTGCTCCCAGCATCTGGCTGTCTGGGTCAGTGCTCTTTACTGTTAAGAAACACCACGACTCTGGCAACCCTTGTAAAAAGAAGGTATTTAATTAGGTGCTTGCTTAAAGTTTTAGAAGGTTAGTCCATGGTCATCACAGTGGGAAGCAGACAGGCATGGCGCTGAGCAGTGGCTGAGAGCTTTCCATCCCAATCTGCAGGCAGCAGGAGGAGAGACAGACTGGCCCTGTCACGAGCTTTTGAAGCCCCCCACCCCGTGCGTGACACACCTCCTTGAACAAGGCCATACCTACTCCAATAAGGCCACACCTCCTAATCCTTCTCAAACCGTTCCACTCCATGGTAGTCAAGGATGGAAATATACGAGTCTGTTGGGACCATCCTTATTCAGACCACCACAGAATCTTCCCTCACTGTTATTAGACATTGCTAATTCATTTTTAGTGTCTCTTTAACCACTGAATCACTAGACCAAGTGATGTTTTCTTGAAAGGGGCAGCAGTGAACCTTCAGAGACCTTGCCTATCCTCTTTAAAAAAAATCATCTCTTCATATAGTACTAACATTCGAGTATAATAAGAATTTGTGAAAACATCTGGAAGAACTGGGAAAATAACACTAAGGGAATATAAATGAAGGTACCTGTAGAAAAAGAAGCTCTCAGGAGTCACGTTCTTCCAGAAGACATGGGATCCTTGAACCTATGTCTTAGGTGGCCCACAACAGCCTGTGACTCCAGCTTCAAGAGAGTGCATGTGCACATGCTTATAAACACACACACACACACACACACACACACACACACACAGTTTTAAAGTCTTTAAAAAACAGATGAGCAAAGGTCAGTGAGGAATCACAGAGCACTACTGCCCTGTCTGTATGGCATGGGAAACCCTATGAGCATTCCAACGAGCTAGGCAGAAGAGGGTTTAAGGATCCCAGGGAGGATTACATAAGGCAGTGAAACAGCAACTCTTGACCACAGTGATTAAAAAAGCAGCTCAAGGATCAATAGTCACAACGACACCACTCCCATCTTAAACTGACAGTCACCAGGCAGGTGACATGGCAGAGTGGTTCGGCTGTGGTGGCCTTTGTGCCAGGGTGGTTCTAGCAGGAATTTTGATATTTCTTGCGTTAGGGCACATGACCTTGATATATTTCCCTTATAGTCAACTGAATTTTTTTATTGACTTATTTATTGGCTAGGAAAATTGATTAGAGTGATTTGTGTTTGATTTTGACAACATGTACAGAGTAACTGGAGTGTCCTAGCACAGTTCAGCAGGGCAAGGACATTCATAACACTGAGATGGGAACTGGCTACAGTGCCTGTCCTCTCAGTCCAGCCCTGAGTTTGGAAGTTTCCAACCAAACCCAGGACTCTAGTCTTGGACCAGGATATAAACCTGTCTGGAAGAAACTGGCTGAGAAGGCTTCTCTGCCCCTGGATAGGAGAGAAATTCTTCAAGACCTGAGGATTATGATATGAACATGAAGACGTGTGTGTGTGTGTGTGTGTGTGTGTGTGTGTGTGTGTGTGTGAAACAAAGCACCCCAAAACCACTTTTAGGGAGTTTGAAATCTCCAAGCATAGCAGAGGGTAGAGTAGACTTTGTGCTCAAGTGTGCTCAAGGCTCAGATGCTTCTCAGTGCTAAAGATCATGTTTACGGAAATATGAGCAGGACTAACTTCAGCCAGATCCCACATCATCTGTTGATGATGTGCCTGTACCAAATTTCTGAGTTAATTTTCTACATACTGGATTTTTTAGGTGTTTATGATTAAAAAGTTAAGCTCTTTCTCTTTTGGACATTTGACAACCCAGTCTGTCTGTCTGTTTATACCTTCAGAATTATGGAGCCATTGGGAAGGCTGAATATTGATTGAGCAACCAAGGAGCTGTGTATTCTTGGCCAAGAATAGAAGTGGGGTACATTCTCTGTCCACTGTTGATCTGGAGATGAGAGCTGTCCAGCAAGAGTGGAGAGGGGTGGACCAATAAAGACAGAGAAGTCCATTTCCTCGCTGGGAATTTGCATATCACTTCCTTCTGCTTCCTTCCTGTCCAGTTCTTTCCTCACCGTGGCAAAGTCCACTGTCTTGGGGATGGAGGGGGTATCATGGGAATGCAGATTACAATGAAGTCCGAGACTGTCTGGTGATCACTCTGACAGCCTTCTTTAGACTCAACTAGTCTTGGCCAGCCCACCTAAAGTAAGTTACCTGAGTAAGGTGACAATATGAACAATCCAGGACCTTAAGCTATCTGAGCTAGCTCCACTTCCTCAGAGTTATGATCTTTTCTGAAAATGAACATGCAGATTTCTAAAATATACTAACCAAGCTAATGATTTCAGTAATTAGTAAGAGAAAAATCCATTTATAGTCTTAGTGTTGGGCTTATATAACAGTTTAGAACTGGAGCCTTTATTGAAGGCTTTGTCACCAGCTGGTGACACTGTTGGGAGGTTGTAGATTCTTTAGGAGACAATCATTGGAGATGGGTCCTAGAAGGTTATACTAGGTCTCTAATCTGTTCCTTTCTCTTTCTACTTTCAGGCTACCTTAGGTCAACAATTTTACACTTCCAACTAGTTGCTGGCTTATTAGTGGTGTAGTTGTTATGAATGCAGCAAACCATCCTCTATTTGTATTTAAGACATGCTATAACCAGAAGCACCTCACCACGACAGTCTCCTTACCATAGGCCAAACTGATAGGGCTGAAGAACCCTGGGCAGAACTCTCTGAATCTGTGAGCCAAAATAAAACATTCTTCCTCACAAATTGACAACATGGATATTTGTCTCAGAAGTAGAAGATGAATAATCAACATATCCCTGATGTCCTAGACATCTGACAAGGAAGTCTAGGAACAGTGGTCTCAGAAGCAGGATAAGTCAAAAAGAAAAACAAAGAAGTGGACGTCTCTGTTATTGTTTTTTTTTTGTTTTTGTTTTTTCGAGACAGGGTTTCTCTGTGTAGCCCTGGCTGTCCTGGAACTCACTCTGTAGACCAGGCTAGCCTCGAACTCTCGAACTCAGAAATCCGCCTGCCTCTGCCTCCCAAGTGCTGGGATTAAAGGCGTGCGCCACCACCGCCCAGCCTCTGTTATTGTTTTAAGGTAGAGAAAACAATTGTTTATTCTCCCAGTGCTTAGGACATTGTCTTTTTATTTATGTTTTTAAAAGCATATAAAGCTGGATTTTGTTATGTTATTTCAATGCATGGATA